TAATTTTAAAAAATCAGGTATTAGAAAACGAGGTAGGTGGAGAATATTCTATATTAAAAAATATGTAATCCAAAAATGTAAGTCCTATATATCATATTAACATAAGTTTTCATTTATCTTGGAGGACTTTAATATTCCCTTATGATTTGTCAAATGAAATAGACAAATATAAGTAATGATGTATAGAATTTGAATAGCACAATTCACCAGTGTGATTGATTTAATGTCTCTATTAAAAAGTTATATCCCCAAAACAAAGAATATGCATCCTTTCCAAGTAGGTATGGAGTGTTTCCAAAACTCACTGTTTATTAAATAAGTTATGGATAAGTTCTTCTAAATAAGTCATATTCTCTGTCCACAATGGAATAAAAATACACATAAATAAAAAGCAAAAAAAATCTATCCATTTAGAAACAGAAATATTCTTCCAAGAATTACTTAGATTAAAAAAGAAATAAAAACTGAATTTCCATCTTATTTAAAAGTAAATGAAAACAGAACACTATTGTCAATATTTGTTATTGCCAAAGCTTGTTACCACGGGGCAACTTGATAACTCTAAATGTAATTACTAGAAAAAGAGACCGAAAACAACCAAACCTTCAATGAAGTAACTAGTAATAAAAAACTAGAAAAATTTAAAAGGATAATAGAGTGTAAATTAATGAAATAGAAAAGAAATGTATTTGATCAATTAAGCTAAAATCTGATTCTTTGAAAAGGCCAATAAAATAAACAAATCGGCTTTTTTTCCTAGAAAAAAAGTTTTCTCTTTCTCTCTTGATTCCATCTCTCTCTCTTAATCAAACACAAATAATCAACCTAAGAAAAGAGAAAGGGGGTAATAACAAAGAGGAAAACTTTCAAATAAGATGATACTACATATTACTAAATACCAAGAAATTTGGAATGCTAGTAAAATGCTTGATTTTCTAGGAAAATATCAATTTCCAAAAATGACTCAGAAAGAGGTGAAGTCCATGAATAAACCAATAATTACAGAGGAAATATAATGGGTTGTCAAAATTTACTATGCCAAAAAGATACATTTTTTATGAAGGAAATCTACCAATGTTGCAAGGAACAGGTCACTATGTGTTATTCAAATGTCTGCTACACAAAAGATGGAAGGAAGCCTTCTTAACTTTTATTAAGAGGCTAGTGTAAGCAAATCTTTATACTACGAAAAAAGAAAACTGCAGGCCAACCTCACATAAAAATCTATGTAAAACATTGACAAATTAATCCAACACCATCTTTAAAAGAACAAACTATTTTATTTCTCAAAATATTTGAGAAAATTAATACTCTTCATAAACAGTTTTAAACACAATTAGTAATATGGGCAATCATTTTAGTGGTACAGAGGCAAAACACATTTTATTTTAATGGTGATTATTTTTTATCCTCTAGGGAAAATAATAATGTTTTCTCACTATTAATATAATTTACTACATTACAGATTAAAGCAGAAAAATCATATGATCAGCCTAATGTAAGGTGGAAAAGCATTTATTAAAATTCCGTACTATTCCTGATTGAAAAATAAACCTTAAAGATCTATAAATAAAAGGGAATTCCTTGAATTGATAAACTGTATCTTTAAGAAATCTGTAACAAGCATCCTGTTTTAACACAGGAACACACTGGACAGGTTTACATTAAATTAGAAATAAAGCAAAGATGCATTCTACAAGTATGTACTATTCAACACTACTTTAAAGGTTCAGCCCAAGTTAATGAGACAAAAAGGAGGAGGAAGTCATAACTATTAGAAATGAAAAGGTAAGATAGTTACATTTGCCTGTTATATGACTATTTTATATATGTATATGTTTGTATATATATAAAATAAATATATATTTTCAAGAGAATCAACTGAAAAACAAATACAAAAAATGAAAGAATTCATTCAGTAAGGGATCTAGATAAAAAATCAATATACAAAACTCAGTAGCATTAAGAAAAATTAAAAACTGTAATTAAGAAAAAGATCCCATTCTCAATAACAAAAGAAATTATATGTCTAGGAAACTAATATGAAATGTGCAAGAAAATGATAAACTTTTATTGAAGGATTTAAGGAAGATCTGAATAAATGGGGGGGAAATACTATGTTACAGGATAAAAAGAGTCATGATTATAAAGATATCAGTTCTCAAGATGTCGAATTGTTTTAGAAAGTAAATTCAACTCCAAGCAAAACCACAATATAAACTGTTTTAGGATATCTGAGAAACTGATTTAAAAGTTCATCCAGAGAGAAAATAGTTAGAAGAGCCAGGATAACCCAAAAAGCAAAACAAACGCTTGCTCTACAAAATTTCAAAACACACAAAGCTAAAGTAGTTAAAAGTGTGGTGTTGACCCATTACTATACACCAAATATTTGTGTCCCCTACAAAATGTGTAAGTTGAAAACCATTCCCTAATGTGATGGAATTTGGAGGTGGGTCCTTTGGGAGGTGATTAAGTCATAAGGATGAAGTACTCCTGAATGGGATCAGCAGAGAGCTCCCTCACCCCTTCCCTCTGTGAGGACACATCAATCGAACAGCTGTGAACTAGGATGGAGGCATTCCCCAGATATCAGCTATACTAGTATGCCAGCACCCTGATCTTAAGACATCTCAGCCTCCAGAACTGTGAGAAATAAATAAATAACATTATTATATGGCCCCCAATCTATGGTACCTTGTTATAGCAGCCCAAAGAGACTAAGACACTCATTGATAGACAACAGAGACAACAGATCAATAGCATAAAACATTCTGCTATGAGTCCAGAAATAAGACAAGAATAGAAATGAATAGGTGAATGATTTTTCAAATAAAGGGAGAAAAAATGAAGGATTTAATGAATGATATTGGGACCAACCATACACTTAGAAAACAGTAAAAACCATGAAATTATAAATTTATCTCACAAAAATTAATTCCAAATAGATTAAAAAGCTAACTAAAACAATACTATAAAAGTTTTAAATGTGTTTTTTTCAACTTGCCTGAATCTAGGTTAGCTGTTAGCCAGAATAATTTTCTGTTGTTTGCAACCAAAAGAACTTGACATAGAACTCTGACCAGAAATTTGGCATAGGATATTTTTTAAGTAGTATGGAAAAAAATACAATAATTGAAAAGACAAACAGCCGCAAGAAAATATTAGCAAGAAAATATAATGTTCCTATTATAGTACAAGTCCTATAAATAAATATCCCAATAGAAATTTGGACAACACATATGAACAAATAATTAATAGAGGAAGAAATGTAAATGGTAAACATGAAAAAATATTCAAACTCATTAGAAATAAAGGAACACAAATTGAGTAACAATGAAATAACACGTTTTTCCCTCAAGAAAAAAGTAAATATTTGAAAAAAATTATGAAGAATCCACTATTAACAAGATGTAGGAAAATGGCCACTTAGCAAACTATTGACCAAATGTAAATTAAAGGTATCTTCTCAAGGGACAATTGATATAATATACATAAAAAGTTTAAATTGGCATTTCCTTTCAGTAATTTCACTTCAAGTAATTTATCCTATGGAAAACATATGTACACAGGAATACAAATACTTTATGGAATAATAAAAATTAGAAATAATCTAAATACTGCGAAGAGAAATGATTGAGTAAATTATGGCATATTCTTAGTAAGGAAAACATTGTAGCAGTTAGGAATAAGGTAGCTCTATATGGATTAACATGGAACAATTTTCAATATACATAGTGGCAAAAGTCACAGAATGATATATTTCATATATTGCTTATATTAAAAACTATCTGTTAAGAGATAAATATTTTTTAAACCATATCACATATATAATACATTACATATATTAAAGAAATATATGTATAATAAAGGCACAATGAAGGATCTAGATATACTAAACCATTAAAAATAATTTCCTCTCCAGTAAGAAAGCATTCAGCATGATAAAAAGAAACTTTGCCTTTTCTTCTACATATATCCTTTTACGCCCTATGTTATGTGTTACTTATGTAATTCAATCTTGCATGAAGAAAGTAAAGTGTAACATCAAATAAGAACTTCTGACAGGCAAAAACCCTCCAAAATAAGATTTTTAAACTGAATACTTCAATTTTTAAAAATTTTTTCCACTCAAATATTATGAAATACTTTATTATTCAGATCTGAAATTCAAGAAACTATGACAAACAAATTTTTCTTGGTAAAGGACTACAAAATACCAGTCTCAATTGACATTTAATGCAATTATAAAAAATTGTAATACAATATAATAGAAGTTCTTATTCTAAGGAAGTTAAGAAAGTTTCTACTTTCACAAAGATATAATATTCATTAAATTCACTAATTCAAGGTTTATTTACATCTACTGTTGATATTTTAAATGGAGAAATATACACGCATGAAAAAAAGGAAAATTTATAAAACACCAGCAAAAACCCCCTTGTAGAAGTGTCTGTATGAGTTCACTGAAGTGTCTTTAGGCAAACTAAATTGCTGATTAGATTTGACAGCTCTAAGAATCCATTCTTTAATTTCATTCCAATTTCAGTGATGTAGAACCAGGTGCCAATTTTAATGTTTGGCCATCCTTATAAAAACTGAAAACTTTATAAATCTAAATATTCAAGGCCATTTAAAAATAGATGTTAGGTATCAAAACTACCAAAATTCACCTGATTCTAGATGAACAAATTTTCCTAATAAGATATGTATCTGGGGAAAAAATAAAACTTGACCCATCACAGCTTACAGTTACTGAATTAACTGGTTTCTAATTATCCAGGTAGTAAATATATGCTTCAAAGCAATGCTCAAACTACAATACTATAATTAATAATCATTTTTAGTAATTGCTAATAATTAATAAACACACGCAAATGTATTAAAGTGTAAATCATACCTAATACGGAGAAATCCTACAAAAGCATTCAAAGCCTATTTATTTTCTGTACTTTTCTTTCAAACTAAATAAATAAAAGAAAAGAATAACATACTCGAACCTTTCTATTTGGGATTCACTGTCAATTCTGTAGTGCTCGAAATCTTGTCTAAGAGACTGTAGCTCTTCTTGAAGTCTCTTTTCACGTTCTACACTTCCTTGATAAAATTTCATCTCTTTTTCCATTGCTTCCACTTTTTCTTCCATAGCCTTAAACTCATGAAGAATTAGATAGCTGACTCCACAGTACTTACAAACTTTTTCTTCAGGGTACATCTAGAAAATAGAACATATATTTACTGAAATGATATGTTTTAAATTCTGAAAAATACAGTTCAACTGAAGGTGTTACTGCAATCATGCTGGTCAAATGAAGTGAATGCATACTGTACTATGCCATGGAGTAACAGTTATGATATTGCCGACATCTGGATAAAATTTTTGTAAGTGGCAAGATATTGACTCTGAAACAAAAATCTTGGAATTAGAAAAGGGTTTTTCAGAGCAACTATTTCACCATGGTATTTCTAAGAAAGATTTACTCTTGGTATAATTTCCATAATATAAAACTGAAAATGATGAAAACATATTTGCAATTCTTGCTTTAAGATGAATTTTCCATGAAGTGGGAAGAAATCATTGGCGTTTCACTGCCAGTTGCTCTGTGATCCCTGAGCTGCTTCTTGGCTTTTTCAGATCTTATTCTACTCATTTTTAAATTAGGGCATTGGACCAAGTAAACTTAAAGCTTCTATTCAGTTTTAACATTTTATAATTTTTATAGAATTTAACACTCTGTCATAAAACCACAGATTAGAAAAACACTTTGAACCTCACCTCTTCTCCCTAAATCAGTAGTTTTCCCCTCAGGGAGGTATGGTTATGCCCATTTCATAGATAAGGAACTGAAGACTACTGAAAGTTAAACAAGGAGCTGATGGGTTGAAAAACTGGGATTAAACCCAAGTCTTTTAAAATCCAGTACCTATGTCTATAACCATGTGTGTCATATTTATCTACCAGGTGATCCTGTTATTTCCTTCAAATAAAATGGTCTTCCTTCCTATGTCTCTGGGTCAGCATAAGTGAATAAAAAACGGAATTTTAGCAAAGTCACGAAAGAGGTAATTCTTTTCTTTCTATGTAAAGTATATAAATATTCCTCAAGTAGTCTCTGTTTGGCTTGCTACTCACAAAGGATAAGAGACAGTTTCATGAAATATTTGCTCCAGAGCACTGAAATGAAAGCACTTGGATTGCTCGAGGAGTACTACTCTGAAAGCACTCTCCTTAGATTAGAAACTGCTCCTGTAACTAGAAGTGATGTCATCAGATCTGCAGTCAATGCTATTACACCAGAGTCAGTTGAAGTAAACTAATAATAAATTCTTAGACAGTATAATTTTGCTTAAACTTTAATAATAAAAATTTAAAATTAAAAACCGTCATATAATACTGTGGGATACAGAGGAATTACTATATAAATAATTGCCACTGATACCAAATTTATAGATTTGTAAAACAACATGTTTGAAAGAAATCATAAAGATAACCTGGTTCAAGCTCTGGATGGGTTCAGAGTTTATTCTAACCTAGATAAGTTGTTATTCAGTCTCTATTTCAAATCTCAAACAGTAAACTACTTTGTGAAGCAAGCCTATTCCATCTTCTGATGCTTTTGTCGATCAGGAAATTTTCTCATGCTGACCCCACATCTGCCTCCTTAAAGAGTCCACAGATCCTAGACCTCCTAGTAACCATGTGGAACAGCCTCAGGCCTCTTTTTAATACTTGAAGACAACTATCAGGCATACTCCATATCTTCTCTTCTCCAGGTCAACCCTTCCAATTCCTTCAGCTGTTTCCCATATGACATGGTTTTAATTTCTTTCTCATTCTAGATAATTTTCTCTAAACTTATTCTAGTGCTCTATATCTGTTTCAAAGTAAGGTGCCCAGAACTGAATACTTCAGTGTGGTCGGCCTCACTAAAACAGAATAAGAGAGGTCTCAAACTTCCCTTATTTTGAGATTTAATTAGTAATATTTACTAATGCTATGTTAGATCACAATGGTCTTTTGTATTTTCAGTAGTTAAATGTTGGCATTATATACTATAACTAGCTTTTATGCTAATAAAGCTCACATTTAAAAAAATACTGCAGTGCAAAACCATGTCTCATTATACTGAATATACCAATTCATTCCTACCCACCTATGTCCCCTTTTTTTAGATAATCTACTTTCTACAGTCCTGGCTGCTCTGTTTGGTAATGTGACTAAAACCTCCTCTACTCATCCATCCTAGCAATGGCTGATTGGTGGGTAAAGACTGAGTGCCAGACCTAGAAGAACCAAGAACTACACTGAGATGAGCCAAGTCCTGTAAGATGCAGGCATTTAGGACACCTTGAGAGCAACCATGATGAAGAAGGGTCATGTGCAAGGTACAGAGTAAGTCACATTACTGGAATGAGAGAGAAGATGAGACAAAGACATTGTGGATTCAGAGTAAGAGGAAAAAAATGGAATCAGTCATTGTCTTGCACCATTGACCTTCCAAGTCCTCACTTCAGTCCCTCTTGAGACTAGCGGCCCTACTTGCCCTTTGGGATCTATACTCAATCTTACTCCACTAGTCTCTCTTTTCCTTCTTAAGCTACCTATTCCTTGCAACCAATAGCCCCAATTCTATTATGTGAAACCTGACTTTTCAGATCCAAGGGCAGAATGATAAACGTAATTGTAAATGTAAATAAATTATACACACACACACACAAGTAACTTAGAAAACAGATATATAAAGATATATATATGTCATATATTCAGCTTTTTGTTACTGACTTTGGTATTCAGGAAATTCAAAGGTTTGCTCTTCTGCAGATTTGGTCCTTGTAAGTTGCTGATGTAAGTATTTAATTCATTGATAAAAAAATGTTGAATACGACAAAGCTGAAGATAGAATTCCACAGCATATCTCCTAGTTTGATACTGATCCATTACTCAGCACATTTCAGGGACAATTCTTCAACTGGTTATTAAACTAACCAATTATTTTTATAACCAGCCTATTTTTATTCATACTGTTTTCAAGAATATTATAATAAACTTTGTCAAATCCCTTCATAAAATCCCTATATTCTATACCTACTACAATTTCTGGACCTAGTAACTCTACACAAAATGGAGTGGCAAGGCCTATGCTGATTCTCTTAATGAACATAAAAATGGCCCACGGTGAATTGTTTTCTCTAACGTATTTTCACAAATCACCTTTCAATAATATATTCTAGAATCTTGTCTGGAACTAAAATTGAGTCCACTGTTTGTAATTTATGGTCATTTTAAGCCTGGCATGGCATTTGTATGCTATTCTCTTACTCTGTACATGTCCTAAAGAACACCATGAGTAGCTCTGCAATCCCCTCAAAGGTACCGGAAGTCCTTGGGAATACAATTCATTCTGGTCAAGACACTTGAACTAATTCAGAGCAGTTATATTCTAACAATCCCTTTGCCCATTGTAAGTTTTGGTTCCTTCTCATCAATTTGAAAATTATATTGCTTACTCCAAGGCACTTTCATCCTTAACCTTTTGCCTATTAATCACATTTCTTGCTGTGCTCCTGGCAAAGTGCCCTATCCTTTTTTTTTAAAGAAAATTCTTGCTGGATGAAGCTTATTTGCAGCCTGAGGACAAAACATAAATGGCAAAAACTCCACATTCTAACCTATTAGAATGTTATTCCACCATAGTAATCATGGGGTGGAGGGAGCCAAAATAAGTGAAGGAATACATTTTATAGAACAGATCTGCTAGTTCAGCAAGGAAAGCCAAAACATGATCATCATTATGATCTAGGAAACAAGACAATCAAACTATAAAATAATAGGTCCATAAGCATGGTCTCCAGACTTCACCTCATACAATCTGGATCTCTGAGTGAGCTATGTTTAAAAAAGTATACTGTACAGAAGTTTTCAATGCTATTAAAATGTAAATAATTTTCTGTAAGTAAAACTGCAACAGAAAAAATATAATAACCCTTCCAAATTTTAGTGTCTGTGTGGGCTAATTACTTAGGACATTTCTGTGAAATTTGAGAAGCTATGAAATACTATAATTATGTTCCCAAACGAAGTAAGTAAAAGTTATCTGGGTTTTTTTTTTGGTAAAATATAATTTGTACCTCATTCTTATAACTTGGTGTTATAACATCTCGTTGTTTTGTAAGTAAAATAATGACATGCTGTCATTCTTGACCAAAGGGCTATCATTAGCAGGATGATTCTGCTTTCTACAAGAGACACTTGGAGGAGGCATAAACAATTACAGCATATTAAACAAATGCAGAACGATTTAAAAATAAATTATAAAATAAACTTCTAAAATGATGCATCTGTACTTTAAAAATTATAGTTATTTAATATAAAAACTTATGCATATTTTTGAAAGGTTAAATTGGGCTTCAGATCCTTTTCAAGGCTCCTATCTGTGCTTCAACTAGAAAAGGCACTCTATAACCTCCTGCTGCCCAGCTGAGGCATACTCTGCTCCAGAGAACGTTTCTCCTTTCTTCCCCGACCCATTCCATGCTTTTTATGCCTGAATTGGAAGAAATAAACATATAAACTATTGCACAAAGGTGAGAGAACAGCAGTACAAAATATTAACATTTTCTATGAGGTTTTGCATTAAAAAAAGATGCTTTTATTCAAAATAATGAGTATCTAGTGAAATTTCATCCAGATTGGGAGAAACATTTTGAAACAGGATGGTGAACCTTTTGAACCATTAGTCACACAGACCACCTGCACACATTACAAGGCCTTCAGAACACTGCCTCATCAATAAGTCAAGCTTGCTGCACTACTGATTTAAAAATCAACTTAGTAAAGAGCATCTACAAAAGCTCTACATCTACATTACAGCTAACAGTGAAAAATTGAGTGCTTTTTCCCCTAAGATCAGGAAAAAGGCAAGGATAGCCCCTCTCTCTGCTCTTATTCAACATAATGCTGGAAGTTCTAGCCAGACTAATAAGGCAAGAAGAGGAATAAATAGCATATGTACTAGAAAGGAATAAATAAAACTGTCCCTACTTGAAATGACATGATTATCTACATAGAAAACCCAAGGAATCTACACTAAAAACTTCTAGAACTAATTTGTCAGCAAGGTCAATGATTCAAGATAAAAATGCAAAAACCAACTGTATTTCTATATTCTGCCAGTGAACATATGGACAGTGAAATTAAAAACATAATACCAATTA